GGAAGGAAGGAAGGAAGGAAGGAAGGAAGGAAGGAAGGAAGGAGAGAAGGAAAGAGAGGGAAGGAAGAAAGAAAGAAAGAATGAAAGAAAGAAAGAAAGAAAAAGGGAGGGAGGGAGGAAGGGAAGGAAAGAAGGAAGAAGGAAGAAGAAAGAAGGAAGGAAGGAAGGAAAGAAGGAAGGAAGGAAGGAAGGAAGGAAGGAAGGAAGGAAGGAAGGAAGGAGGGAAGGAAGGAAGGAAGGAAGGAAAGATGAAAGGTTATCGATGGAGTCTAGGCACAAAAGAGCTTCCTGTATCTCCACATCACCTAAGGCTTTTGAAGTAGTTTTGGACATTCTCATTCTATTCACTTAGTAAGTGTCAGTATAATCGGGTTAAGTAAATACTGTCATCAACTCCAGTTGTGTATATTTCCTCTAAATCAATGGTGTCCAATCAAATTTTAATGTGAAGCTGGGCATGGTAGCACCCATCTGTATTCTAGCACATGGGAGGTGGAGGCAGGGGCAGACAGATCACTGCAATTTCAAGATCAGCCAGGGGGCCATAGCAAGACAAAAAACCAAAGTCAAAGATATGTACACACATAATTAAAAATAAAATAGTATTGAATTAAACCCCTACATAATACATTTGGTCCAATAGAGAAGTGATTATTCCAATATAAAAGATTACTTTTTTTTTTTTTTTTGAGATAGCATGGGGCCTAGATTTGCTTTGCAGAGCAGGCTGGTCTCCAACTCACAGAGATGCACCAGTCTCTGCTTCCTGATTAATATTGGAATTAAAGGTATATACCACCAAGCCCAGCTCTCTTAGAATATCTTTAAAAAAAAATTCAGGACATAGTCTATATTTAATTAATTCAGATTGGCTACATTTCTAGTGCTTATTAGCTGTGTTGGTATCAAACAATAAAGCTGAGTAATTGCAAATTTGTATTTTAAAATTTCAAGACTTTTTTTTTTTTTTTACAAGATTTTATATGTATGGGTATTTTGCCTGCATAGATAATATGCACCACATAACGTCTGGTGGGATGGATCCCTTGGAACTGGAGTTACAGTTGTGAGCTGCCATGTGGATGAAGGAAATTGAACATGGGTCCTCTAGAGGAGCAGCCAGAGCTCTTAACTGTTAAGCTATCTCTTTAGCCCCTTCAAGACTTATTTTTATGCATGTTTTGCATGCATGTATGATTTTTTTTTGTGTGTTTTGTGTTTGTGTATGATGGGGAAAGTACATGCATATAGTAATGGGCTATCACATGAGTTTCAGGAACTAAATTCAGGTCAAGCAAGTAGTTTTTACCCACTGAACTATCTTGCCAGGTTCCCAGAAAGTTTCTAACAAGCTTTCATTTTTAAAACTTTGTCTTCATATACAATATAGGTTTTGCCGGGCAGCAGTGGCACACACCTTTAATCCCAGCATTTGGGAGGCGGAGCCAGGAGGATCTCTGTGAGTTTGAGGTCAGCCTGTCTATAGAGTGAGATCCAGGGCAGGCACCAAAACTACACGGAAACACCATGTCTTGAAAAACAAAAACAAAAACAATACAGGTTTCATGAAAAATGAAAAACCTTGCTTTGTCGACTAGTATTTCTCAAGTGCTACAGCAACATCTAACGATGCTCTATAGTAAATGTTTATTTTTTGAGACAGTCTATATCACCATGGCTGTCCTGGAATGCTACGATTAGGCTGGTCTTGATCTACAGAGATCCACCCCTAAATGTTCAATTCTTTACTAGAGCTCCTTTAGTTATAGGGTGTAACAACTGTTTACAGGTTTTTGGTTGCCATGAATGCATGCATGTATATACATCACCCCATGGAGGAAAAAGGACAGGCAACTTGCCAGGGTACTTATATTTGGCAGTGATCAGCTGTTGTTCTTCGGCCAGTGTCCCTCCCTGTGGGTCACAGAAGTGAAGGATGCCTGACCACAGGCCTTACACAGTACATAGAAACTGCTACTCTGGTAGGCAGTGGGTCAAAGCTAGTGGGAGCAGAAATGGTGTATTGCCCCAAGGCACAGAGATAACTTTCAGGAGATTCTGATGGAGTCTAAGATGCCATTCCTTCATAGCTGCTATAAGTAAACTTCTGGAAACAACTCAAATAAAAAAAATAAAAAAGTTGTGTAGATTTCTGGAAAATATAACAGACTTCAGTTTTCCGTAAGGTCGATTCCTAGACTCTGTCCAAGCTCATAGTACCTGGCACATCGTCTAACCAAAATAAAATGTTTATTATTAAAAAGAAAATTCAATGCTTTTAGAATTCAACATTTTAATAAGAAACAGTTGATACTCTGATAGTCTGTTGCTCAAAGGAAAGATGAGAAAAAGAAATAGAATGAAATATTTACCATATCTGCTTGTATCAAAAAGAAAAGATATGGGAAGGGAAATGCAAGTTAGTTACTTTGCAGCTGGTATCCATCCGTGCACTTTTATTTTTGTAATCATGTTGATTTTGTAAATAAAAACAAAACAATAGTTTTCAAAACCCATTTATTTATGAAATCATTAAGTTGACCTGCATAATTTCAACAAGTAAGCTTCACTGAAAAAAAACAAACTGTGACATATAATTCATTTGTTTCTAAGAAAAGTCTTATTTACACATTGAGGAACAAAGGTTTCTTTTTGCTTTTTTAATGTAGAACTCAGCAGAACATCTATCAAGCAGTCCTAGCATTCTAAGAACGCTCCAGAAAGAGAAACCCAAATGGAGCTGCCGTCCTTCTCAATCATACTCAGAGAATCGAATGTGTTGACTGGCTTGTTGAGTCTTGGCCAGTCTAATCTTCTCAGCTTTGGTGATTAACTACAGGGAAAGAAGTAAGAAATTAGAATGTCTTGGACACTCCAAAAATGATAAAAAAAAAACAACAAAAAAAAAAAAACAAAAAAAAACAGTCCCAACCATGAAGTCTTACAATATTAGACTGAATGACATTTTTAAAAGCTGGGGGTAGAAAGACAAATGAGATCATTATGTTTTGATCAAATCAGTTTACAGAGAACTGGAGTTTTTTATGAAATAGATCTGACATCTCTGAAACCTCTCTCCCTCCAATTACACTGCATAACTCAGAATCTTTCAATTGAAGTATCTGTCACTCCTCACTGAAGACTCACAATTTAGCATTATATTGTATACCCTCTGGACTTGCTTATTAATTCCTAAGACAAAATGGTATGAGTGAGATTCGATACCTCTGGGTTGTGTATTACTCAGGTTTGCTTTGAAAACTGCTTACTGACCAGGAATGCTAATGCTTGCCTTTAGTCCCAGCATTCCAAAGGCAGAGGCAGGTAGATCTCTGTGAGTTCAAGGCCAACCTGAGAAACACAGTGGGACCCTGGCTGTCCTGGAACTTGATCTATAGATCAGGCTGGCCTCAAACTCAGAGAGTACTAGGAAAAAAGGCATACACCACCATGCCCAGCTTATTCATTTACTTTTGAGACCAAGTCTTACAGGGTTTCTCTGTGTAGCCTTGGCTGTCCTGGAACTCACTATGGAGACCAGCCTGGCCTTGAACTTCCACGTGCTGGGAATAAAGGCATGCATCACTACACTCAGCTAATGTTACAACTCTTTTGTGCCTATTACATCTCCTAAAAGGTTTAAATTTTTGCTTTACAAATGAAAAATTATGATTTCAAATAAACTATTAAGACCTGTCTTTATTAAATTACATTATATACATATATATACTTTAAAGAAAGAAGATTTTTTTGAAACACAGAAGACAACAGATTGAAACACTCCCAAAGCAGTTGCTGCTGCTTTTCTGCAGTGGGTCTCTGTAACCCCAGGTAGTCTGAAGTTCACTCTTCTGTCTTCTGAGTAGCTGGGATTGCAGGTACAAACTATTGTACCAGCTTCCTTAACAGAAAAATTATAGCTTAGTTTTATTTTTTCTCTTAAAAATATAGATCAAAAACACCAATGACAACCAATGTTGGAGAGGATGTGGAGCAAAGGGAACACTCCTCCACTGTTGGTGGGAATGTAAACTTGTACAACCACTATGGAAATCAGTATGGCGGTTTCTCAGAAAATTAGGAATCAAACTACCTCAAGACCCAGCCATCCCACTCTTGGGCATATACCCAAAGAATGCTGATACATACCAT